GAGAGGGTGGTCAGGGTGGATGGATGGGTCAACAAAACATCCAATTTTATTACAAGAGACTGCTATTTTGTTCCCCCGTTGAGATGTGTTTCCCCTGTTCAGAACTAATGTAGTCCCCACTCAGTGGTTGTGGTTAGGACAATGTTAGGATTCAGGTTAGGGGAAACACATCTCCATAGGGAAACTGATTTTGACACAACACTGGCAGCAGGAGTTGTGTGCATTCATAAACTACCCTCTCATTTTTAGGAAGAGGCTCTCAGGTTTTATCACTCTGAAATAATTACAGACTATTTGGAGTTATGAGGGGTGCAAAGCTAATCTAGAGGTACCCAAGATTAAACATTAAATGGCTGGAAATGATCATGCCATGGGCTCTTTAATTTACCACTGGATGTTTTCATTCAAACCAAACAAACTATCTCAGAACAAACCTTTACATTTCCTTTGTATCACAAACACCTGGAATTGTTCTTCTGAATATGATCCAGTCCAGAGCTGTGACTTGCTTGTGTTTTACATGTGCAGCAGCAGCAACATTCAGAAGTCTATGGTAATGGTGTGACTTTTAGCAGCGTGCTCATGGAAACAAAATGTGACTCAGCAGTATGACACATGGTCTGATTGTCTGTGGGTCTATGGCAATTGTGCAACAGCAGTGATAAGCAGAGCTGCATAATGATGAGCGTGTCAGTCACCAGCTGGAAGGGTTAACAGCGGGTGACAGGAAAATGTTGGAACATTGCTCAGCCTGATGTGCCACTGCCCTGATGAGAAGCTGGGTCAAATAAACTGAAATAACCAGACTGAACCGAATGATTATTTCAATTGTACTGTCAAGTGGACACGGGGGAGCGAGTTAAAAGATGCCTATTAGGACTAGAATGTGATCTGTGAGTTTCTGCAAAACCCTACTAGCTTAGCAGGTCAAGGAGCAGGATTGTCATCACAGAGGTGACTTGAAATCCTGCATACTGTCTCATGGAGGAGAAATCAAATATCACAGTAAGCTCTATCCCATACACACTAAATGACCATTGTCAGCACTAACCCCACTGTTGGCGTGGTGAAGGAACAGATGTCAGCTTTATACTCAAGCCCAGTTTAAGCCACGATTTTAAATAAAAAAACATGGTATTCTTATAGCCTGTTGAAAGCCTTGCTACAGCATTATAAGCAACAGTAACTAAGAGATGCAGTATGTTTGGGGCAAATTTGGAATAAAGAGAGTTGCAGAAGTCAGGATAAAAAAAAGCATTAGTTAGTGGCAAAAATTAAAAGCTCCAAATGTAGTGTAATGACAGTTTAACATTCAAGGTCAACCAACAGAGGTCTTTCAAAAATGTAATAGCAGCTTTAGGTGGACCACAAATCCTCGTTTCATTTAGTGCTATAAAATCTTGTGACATCCAGGACTTATTATACAGCAGAAGGAGAGACCAGGCCACCAGGATCATTCAGCTTCACGGGGTAGATACAACTGTGTATGGTCTGCATATCAGTGAAATGATACTTTATTTTATATTATTATATTTTAAGCTTTAAATGTACTGAGATTTAACTTGACATCATAGGTGACATTTGAAGATGGTGGTGAATGTCCTGTTTTGATTTACTGCAATCAAACTGAGAAACAATTTGATCTAGTTACTAAATTGTAAAATACTGCTTTGAAGAAGAAAAAACTGTTTATTAGCAAATGTCCTGTAAATTGTAATGGTTTCCAACCAGTTGGTCAGGAGCTCCACAATGCAGCACAAGATGAAAGGAAGGGGCTGTGATTGTCCTACATGAAATAACATTTATTACACCAGTTGTCTAAATTTGGCATTTAGATTATAGTACATTGTCAAAGACTTTATATTATAACCCTCATAATGGATTACCAAATAATTTGCAGGTAAAACTGTATATTTGCTTAAACAGCTGCTCAGATACTATTTTAATTTTTGATTAGTTAAGTCAATTTTTCAAGGAAAAATCCCAAATGATCCCATGGTCTGCTTTCTTGGTTTCAAAGGTATAGTTATTTTGTTTCTACATTATTTCTGTCTACTGTATGACATCTACAGTATATCCCATCAAATCTGTCTGAACTCTGTATGCTCTTCTTGTGGTTTTGCCATTTTTTTCCTCAGGGGTTTTCTGGAGAGTTTTATTTTTTTCAAAGGTCTACAGATAGCTGATATCATATTATGTACAGACCTTTGAGGCAGATTTAGAATTTCTACACAATCATTATTTTCTATTGTATATATTTTAAATGTTTTAATTTATTGCATACGCTTAACAAAAGGTCAAATTGTATTTTTTTTTCTACAGCTGTTATTTTTATCACACCATTTGTGACACCATTCTCAGATCTTTCTGAGAATTTCTGTTATTATTTTTAACCCCCTGATGTGCAAAATTGGCCAAAACTGACCCAGGTGAATGATTTTGTTAATACCTTTACACGTGATGCATGTTATCACTCAATATTTAATGAATTTCTCATTCAGGTTGTTTTTTAACATTGCAAACAATTATTTTTATGCCATTTAATTTTATTAATTAATTTAATTTTGAATTAAAAAAGAACATTTTTGTGTTAGTACCTTGTTAACGCACAAGATGGGTCAAAATAGCCTGAATGTATTCTCAGTGGAATTCAATAGGAAACTTAGGTATGTCTATATATTTGGAATTAAGAACCTGCTTTATTGCGGTTGATTCCTCTCAGAGTCAGAGTTTCACCTATCTAGATGACATCCTTAACACATTAGTGTGACATATCTAAGTTTTGTTGTACTTTTTGCCACAGAATATCAATCATGCATATACCTGTACATCATTCTGTGTGTTTACCTATGGTTAGAAAGATGTGGTAGTAGTATCAGTGGTGGAAGAAGTACTCAGATTGTTGACCTAAGTAACAGTAGCAATAACACAATGTAAAAATACTCTGCAAGTAAAAGTTCCTGCATTGCAAATGTTATTTAAATAAAAGTACAAAAGTATAGCACCAAAAATAAAAGTACTAATTTAGAACGGCACATTTGACATTCATGTTCAGTATATATTCATATACAGATTATTGGATTATAATTGTTGATGGATGATTGTGTTCATTACTTCAATGCTGCAGCAGGTAAAGATGGAGCCAATGTTAATCTTATATACAGTATTTATAATTTGAAGTACTGTACATAATGCCTGGTAGGTTGTCTGATTATACTGTATTTAGTTGTGATCCAGTAAAAAGTACAATATATGCCTCTGACTATTTCCATTTTCTGCTGCTTCATCCTTAGACTTCACTATATCTCAAAGTACAGATACCTCAACACTGTACTTAATTACAGTACTTGAGTAATTGTACTTAGTTACTTTCCACCACTGGGTAATAGAATCATTTCTGATGGCTTAACCTATTGATTCATAGGTAACTAGGTGCTGATCTGTTGATGAGCTGGTGTGTTTAGCTAGCTAGTTGCTGACCATGGGGCTTTATCTGATAAAGTAAAAAAGAGAGTGGGCCCTGTCTTTACAAAAAACAATGTGTGAGGCACAGGTAGCGCCTCTGTGTTTCCTATCTGCACAATTACGTTTTCATGACATGCAGATCACTTTGCCTTTTTACTAAGCATCAATTGGTCCACTTGGTGCCGACAGATGTCTGGATGAAAATGTGCATGTCCAGGTAAATCTTGGGCACGTTGGTAATATGAGGGCACACAAAGTGACCTGCAAAACCTAGGTCTATGGTCAACAGTCAAATCATCATTGCTAGTTAATGGGCACTTTGTGTTGTGATGTATAGGAGTGTGCACAATGCTCGTGCACTGTGCTTGTTATACCCTGGGACGTGCTGTGCAGGACCTGCAGAACTTAAAAAGTAAAAAGATGACATTGTGTTCATTGGGTGTTGTGCACATCAGTATATATGTACAGTATTTACAATAAATATCATTTTGATTAGTGATCATATTTAAAGAATTGGCTTCTGACCATAATGATAAATGAAATTGGCTAATTAGTTTACCAGTGGTGCTCTTACAAACATGTCAGACTATGTTTTCTCAGTGGAAAGTCTTACTGAAGTCCGCCCTGGCAAGTCGGCCAGTATGCTAGCAATCCACCAAATGTTCAGGCTCACATTTCTCTTAAAGTGGATGTGAGGTTACACACTTATTGGATAATTGCATGTTACACCCAAATACACTCCTGCTTTATGAGGAGATCAGGAACAGCCCTTATGCTACTTACACAGGTGCTCAAACTGTTTTTCCTCATCACCAAATTTCCAAAATGAACATGCACCCACCCAAACACCACTTGTGCCGATACATCTTGATCAGATGCAGTGGATCCTCAAAATGTGGCCTAGTGTCTCTAAAACACTTAGTAGCAACATGTTGTATTCTACCAAGTCAATGTGAGGTAAAAATATAGAATACACTTGCTTGAGAATATGGCTTAGCACCCATTTGAAAATATGATACTGTGTTTTGTTCCTTATTGACAGAACTGCTTTTTCTGTTTAGAAAAAGTCCTAGGTAATGGCATCAATTTGCTTCAAAGATATTACAATAATTAACTCAACCATGGGTAAAATACTACTGAAAATTAATGCGGGTCATTTTTGAACAGTCTTGCACATTAAAAGTTGTAGAATATCTTGTGCACCAGAGGGTTAACATAACCAGTGTAATTTACTAGTCCATCAGTTCCCCCTGAAAGGCACACATAAATAAAAGTAACCCCCCCCCCCC